AAGAACTTAATGAAGATAAACCTTACGATGTTTTGAAACATGTAATTTGGTGGATTGAATTCGTCATTCGTCATAAGGGTGCTTCTCATCTTCGTACTAGTATTGCTCATGATCCTTGGTACCAAAAACACGAAATGGACGTCATAGCAATTTTATCAATTATCATATTTGTAACGTTAATTTGCACATTAATAGTTATTTATAAACTATTAAAAATCATATTTAATCTTACAAAAATAACAGTAACAACCAAGAAAAAGATTAATTAATTTTTGATACATATAATTATATTGATAAAAAATTGAGAAATACTAGAAAATTGTTTAAATGTTTTTATTTTATACAAATACTTTATAGATCAAGTATGAAATTTTAATGTTTATATGTCTATAAATAGTCATAGATTAAAATTTTCCAAAAATTATAAATTTTTAGAAAGAATTTGAAATTTTAATAAGTTATATTAAAAATAATCTAAAAGATCTGAACTTCAAGAAAATATCAAAAATTACAGAAGATGTATAATAAATTATTATTTATCATTTACCACATTTAGCAACGTTATGTAATTGCCGCAATCGGATCGCGCAGTTTTAAATTTATATCACTGTCATCAATAATTGTTCGTTGAAACGTAATTCATGCTTGCTAAATAATTATATTGTCGTAGTGGAAAGTCCCTGCCTGTCTGATTTTCATGTAATAATGCACAGGACAGTTATAATGGAAAAATGATGTAAATGCATAATTAAAGAGAGCGAGAGAGACAGTGGATTGTAATAATTTTTTTAATAGGATATATTTTATGTACAAAGAGTTATTATATATTGGTTTACTTAAAAATAGCTAATGTACAAAATATTTTTCCCTTCCTCTTCTTCTAGCATTAACTTGAAAATGCTATTACGCAAAAATATATTATATTTACAATTAAATTATATATCTTTACTATAAACATATATTTTATTTTATTATAATATAATATATCGTAACATATTTCACTGTCTGTAAACATTTGGCAAATATTTTTCATATTTATAAGCACACAGTACATTATGATATATAAATTGTATAAAACAATCGCATCCTATATACGATAAAATCAGATAAAAAAATAATGAGCAATATATTTGTAGCATATTTTCTAGAAACTACATTGTGCCATATATTGTGCGTAATATCATTATGTGAATTTGAAAAATAATCTGTTGCTGATGAGAGGGAGAAGAAAGAGAAGCTTCATTTATTTATAATGTATTGGTAAAGTTATATTATAAAGTGCAAAATAAAAAAATCATTTTTAAAATTTTCTCTTGTATTTTAGAATTTTAAAGAAATCTATTATAATCTATACTCTATAATACAATCCATCAATAATCATTTTGTATGAATGTATGCAACATGAGAAAACAAGAGAGAAAAAAGGAGAATTAATTTTATCTTTTCACGATTTTTTATAAAAAACAAATTAGTACAAATTAGTATTACATTGGGACATAATAATACCAAAATAAAATTAATATATAAATATAAAATAAACAAAACTCAGCCAAATATTGTAATAAATTATTCAAGTATTTGTAAAAACAAATAGAAGTGTAAAAATAAAATAAGTAAAAAGAAATTATGTCACAAGTAACAACAAAGATTACTTAAAATATATGAATTAAAAATATCTGTTGAATTTTTTCATAATAATTTAAACTACATCTGACATCACACTTGTAAAACACAATAATGTTGCGAATAATGAAAATGTACATAAAGTTTTTTTTTTATCGGTATAGCCTTTTTCTCCGTCTTGTTCCATTATCGAGAGAAACTTCTTTTTATTATAAAGACGACATTCCCGGGAGATTATCAAAAAGCGATAGAAAAGGACATTTTCTTTTCATCGAGCGCCCTTTTGCGCTTCCTCTCTTTCCTGCACGAAACTCGCGCGTCAAGAGGCGTAATCGTTTTTATACCCGATAACGTGTTTTATCTGCCACCTTTTCCGCGCTCCTTTCTCCCGCGATTTACAAAGGCGATAGCCTTTGAGAATCACGATTTCGTAGAACGATAGAAGCATGCAGTTATTTGTTAAAAGGACACGGCAAAGTCAACCCGAGGACCAAGAACAAAGGAGATCAGCGTGAAAAAAGGAGAGACACACGTCGCACGTTGGAAGATGCAATCTGCCACGGTATTGTTTGATGCGATTTGCCAGCAGTTATTGTTTCGTACATCGCAGCCACGAAGTTACACAATTACGCCGACATCGTTGTACGGATTCGTCTCTCACGACGTCTTACTGGTCCCTCTCTTCCTTGGTGTTCTCCTCTACTATTCCCTGGGGCACAAAAGCGGTTGCAGTCGAGAGTCGTAGCATACCGACTCTGTTGGATTGTTCGGGACTCGTAGAAGATTTCTGAATAAAAGAAAGAAAGAGAGAGAGAGAGAGAGAGAGAGAGAGAGAGAGAGAGAGAGAGAGAGCGAATCAGGACTTCTTATTCTCATCACTTTTCTCGACGTTTTCGCGATATTTCCGCATTTCTCATCGAGGTGCTATCAACCTAAAATGTCGGAAGACACGAAGTGAGTAAAAATGGATAGTAAGTGGCGTATACAGAAAGTGATTCGCGGAAGTACTCCTTGATGATTAAACGCATTATGGCTGAAATCGGTTGTTTTCAGAGTAGCGTTGGAAGCACATCGTTTATCGTGAGATAGCCATTATTATTTTCTTCTCGGAAGAAAGAAAATTTTTCTGTAGTTTTCGTATCGACGCGCAAAATATTTTTACTATTTCTTTTATGACTGTTTAGTGTTCTTTTATAAAGCACTCATAAATTTAAAATATATCATAAAATATATCATAAAATATTCTGTTACTCTGAAATGGTATACTTATTATTTCATTGATTTAGAAGGAATATTAAAGACAAGTTATTTCTTTTCAATGTAAAAAAATCAATTTTCTAAATATGAGAAAATCAATGGGAAAATTCTATCCAACACTTTCTTATAAGATCTAGTTATTTCTTTGGAAACGAAAGCAAAAGATACAAGAAAAAATGAGCTTTAACCAATGTATGTATATGTATAAGCGTATGAGTATAGATGTATGTACAGGGTGATAAAAAAGTTTGGCTACAAACTTTACTATTTTGAATATTTATTATAATAATTACTATTTTTAGTAAAGTATGACTGATATTTAATAAAGTATAATTGACACTCCAGATTTATTTATTTATTTTTTTTAATATGTTTATTTTTTTAATAATTAAATTATTAACACAAAACTTTGTAACTATACATTGTTAAATTTATAGTATCTTTAATCTTAAGTCGCCATTGCTCTTATTAAATATATTATTTTATATTAAAACAATGGTTAAATTCGACTCTGCATATTTAACCATTTTATTTTAATATAAAATAACGATATATTTAGTAGAAGCAGTGGTGACTAAATTTAGGTTAAATTTGACACTATAAATTTAACAGTGTAATTTTTAGTCACTCTGTATAGAATATTTGTACATGTAATGCATAAATGTATGAGTGTCCACTGTGTATTGAGCTTGGATCCGTGGGTTTGCTAAGCTCAACTGTGCGGATTAGTCATCCCTACGGGAAAGCTATCTCCTAAGCCCTTCATCGTTGCCATTTTCTCCTTTGTTGAAATCCATTCGAGGGATCAAATATCATTTGAACCATTCATTTAAACCGAACCAATAAAATTAATTGTGAAAACGGCACTTCCGTATCATCCCACCATCACAAATTTGTTCGACTCTTCACACGGTGCGCAGCTAATCTCACCCATGGGATTTCAAGGCACGGATTTTCGGTCTACGTGCATATATTGTGCATATACAATATTTACATTAGAATGTAAACGATCTTCAAGCAGCCTTAGTTGTTGGCGCGTGCATATTCGCGTCTAGACACCTCTTAGTACTTCGTCGAAATCGTTGAGTTGGCTTGCGCGGCCTGTTTAATATATACGAATACATAATTATCGAGTTACGGACTATGCACACGCAGACAGGTCCGCGTGTATTTACACGGTATAATTTGATATGCTGCGAGTTGTCCAAATTGTACCAATTATGCGTAAATTATTGTGTATGAGGATGAAGGGCAGTATACACATCACGCGGGTGCAAATTAACACCCGTGGAACCGATAGCGAATAACCAAAGATGCCTAGGAATGCTGACGAATGTTCGGTTATTACCAGTAACAATGTATACTCGATATTGGCGTCAATGTTATCCGTGTTTGACATCGAGATCGATATCATTGACATAAATATTGAGATAAAAATACAAAGAAAAATTTAAATATTAATAGAACGTATTATTTTTTTTTTAAATTGCATATACACCGATTATATAACACATATACCGAATAAATTGCATATATACCAAATAATATATATGCCGAATAAATCTGCTACAACGATCGAAGATTTATTCATAAATATTACGCTTGCCTTTCGTGCAGGCTGTGAGTACGTTCTCCACGGAACATCGATGTACGTACGAGTGCACGTACAACGAGGCTCTTGGGTAATTACACGAGATTCTGCTTGCCGAAGCGCGATCTGTTATTTCCGTCCCTCCTTTTTTTTATTAGCCGACGATGTGCATAGGAAGCTGTATAAACGAGATAGGCACCAGAAAGCATTCGCAGCATCACCCCTTCGCCGTCTCGACCTACTCGCTTTTGTTTAACACCTTATCTCACCTATTAGCAATATGATCTATCCAGCGCAGAGAGTAAATTTGGCTTCGCGGATTAAACGAAGATGGACCGTTATTCTTTCTTGAATTATTATGCGTTTCTCCTGCTACCCGTCATCCTTCGGTTATTGTTTCACATTTTGAGCTACAAGAAATATATATATATTTTCCTCTTTATATATATGTGTATACAATATGAAATATTATAATATTATAATA